ATCTAACATACTTTGTACGTGTTGTAAGCAGGGACTGGTCCTTGGAGAGGGACATCATGCTTGGTAGGGTGGAGGCACAGCGCAGGAGGGTAAGACCTTCTATAAGGTGGATTGATTCAGTGACTGGGGTAATCGGGATGGGTGTGTCAGAGACAGTGTGATTGGCACAGGACAGAGCAGAGTTTAGTGCTGTTGTACAAAGGGTCGCTATGAGTCTCAAGTGACTCGACAGCACATAACAACAGCAACAGACTTGATGTGAAATTAGGATGAAACAAAAACTCATTAATAACCTATCTTATGCACTTGACACAATTGTGATTATAGAAAGTCAAGAGGACTTGAAGCACTTACTACAAAAGATCAAAGATTATATAGCCTTCAAAATTATTCTCTCTCACCATTAAAAAGGGGGGGTGGAAACAAAACCACAACAACTTCACTACCAAAGCAATAGGCAACATCATGAAAGATGGAGAAACAAATGACAATTTTTTTCATTTTACTTTGATATTTACTCAATATCCATGGTAGCAGTAGTTAGGAAATAAAAAAGATATGTTGTATTCATTTCATATTGCTATGAAGGAATTGGAAAAAAAACAAGGCTCCAGGAGTTGACAGCATACCAATTGATTTATTTCAACAAACAGACGCTGCCCTGGATGTGCTCACTAAATTGTGCCAGGAAATCTGGAGGACAGCCAGCTGGCCAACTGACTGGAAGAGATCGATATTTGTCCCCATTCCAAAGAAAGGTGACCCAACAGGGTGTGGAAATTATTGAACAATCTCATTGCTATCACATGCAAGCAAGATTCTGATGAAAATTATCCAAAAACGTTTGGAACAATGTCAACAGAGAACTGGCTGGATTTAGAAGAGGTCGTGGTACTGGGGATATTACAGCTTATGTAAGACGGATCTTGGCAAAAAGCAGAGAATACTAGAAGAATGTCTATCTGTGCATCACTGACTATGCAAAGGCTTTTGACTGTGTGGATTACAACAAGCTATGGCTGACTCTGAGAAGAATGGGAATCCCAGAACATTTGATTGTGCTAATGCGAAACCTATACTTGGACCAAGAGGCAGTTGTCAGGACAGAGCAGGGTGACACTGGATGGTTCAAAATCAAGAAAGGGGTCCGTCAGGGATGTATTTTGTCTCTATACCTTTTCAATCTGTATGCAGAACAGATCATCTGAGATGCTGGGCTGTACGAGGAGGAATGTGGCATCAGGATTGGTGGAAGAATCATCAACAGCCTGCGTTATGCAGATGACACAACCCTGCTTGCTGAAACTGAGGAGAACCTGAAGCGCTTGCTGCAGAAGGTCAAGGACTACAGTCTTCAATATGGACTGAAGCTCAATATCAAGAAAACAAAGATTCTAACCACTGGGCCAATTGGCAGCATCACTATGGATGGTGAAGAGATTGAGATAGTTAATAGTTTTAGTTTACTTGGCTCCACAGTCAACACTCTTGGTAACAGCAGCCAGGAAATCAAGAGACAAATTGAACTAGGAAAGTCAGCTGTGAGGGACATCTCAAGAGTACTGAAGCGCAATGATGTCAGGCTGGATACTAAGGTACACCTGATCCAGGCTATGTTCTTTACAAGTATGTGCAAAGTAGATAGGTATGATAGAAAGAGAATTGATGCCTTTGAGTTGTGGTGCTGGAGAAGAGTGTTGAATATACCATGGACTGCTAGGAGAACAAACGGGTTTGTCCTGGAGAGGGTGAAGCCAGAATGTTCCCTGGTCAAGGATTCTGAAGCTTCACCTGACATATTTTGGGCATGTTGCAAGGAGGGACTGGTCCTTGGAGAGGGACATCATGTTTGGGAGAGTGGAGGGATGACACGGGAGAGGAAGACCCTGGATGAGATGGATCGAGTCTGTGAGTGTAGTGGTGGGAATGAATGTGTTTGAGACAGCGAGGATGGCACAGGATAGAAAGGCGTTTAGGGCTCTTGTATATAGGGTCGCTATGAGTCGCAAATGACTCTATGACACATAACAACAATAACAATGTTGTATTGGCAAAAGTTGACCTCTCAAAAGTGCTAAAAGAGTAGGGAGATAAGTTTAAAGACAAAGGTGCAGCTGACCCAAGCCATATAATTTCCAATTGCTTCATATACATCCTAAAGTCTGACAAAGAACTGAAGAAGAATCAAAGCCTTTGAATTGTGGAATTGGTAAATAGTATTGAATATGCCATGGATTGTCAAAGGAATAAATAAATCTTGGAAGAAATACAGCCAAAGTGTTCCTTAGAGACAGGGTAGGTGATGAAAGTTTATCTCACATATTTTGCACATTTTATCATGAGGGGCCCTTTCTAGGAAAAAGAGACAATGCTGGAAAGAGTAGAGGGTAGTTAAGGAGCTCAAGACCTTCAACAAGATGGGCTGACACAGTGATCATAACAATAGCCTCAATATGTCAGAGATCATGAAAATAGCACAGGATAGGGCAAGGTTTGATCTGTTGTCCATGGGACCACTATGATTCATAGTGCACTCAATAGCACTTAACAACAACAATGATTTAAACTGAACTGCTAACAGAAGTGTTGGTAGTTTGAATGCCTCCATTGGTATGCTGCAGAAGACTGAATACCTGCTTCCACAAAGATTGTAGTCACAAAAGCTCTGGATCCCCGATGTGCTTTCTAGTATAAGGAATAAACGTGAATTGGAAATCACATAATAACAATGATAATAGTCAAAACTAGGATTTTCTTTTTGAATAATTGGCACTAAATATGGTTGTTATTGTTGTTATGTCGCCTGCACGTCACAGCGACCTTATGCACAATAGCTCTAACCCTGCCCTATCCTGGGCCAA